ACTGAACATCTCATTTAAACGAAACCAGGTTTAACCAGGTTTGCTACACTGCTTCGGCTTTTTGTAAACGTTTGTTGTTACAGGAGGCTAACTGGAACATCTCATTTAAGACGAAACCAGGTTTAACCAGGTTTGCTACACTGCTTCGGCTTTTTGAAACGTTTGTTGTTACAGGAGGCTAACTGAACATCTCATTTAAAACGAAACCAGGTTTAAGCTCTTTACACTGCTTCGGCTTTTTTAAATGGTTATTACAGAAGTTTAACTGAATTTCTCCTTTAAGTCAAATAATATTCTAGTCCCTTAAACTCCTTGTTTTACTGAAACGCTCATTAATACACAAAAATTAGTCAAATGTCTTTAAACTTTTATTTTCGTTGAGACTTTGGTCATTACATCAGGTTAATTTACCGCTTACTTCAAGATGAAGTCAGGATCAGGTCTCCTAAAGTCTTAGTTTTTTTTCCTGACAGGTTAGTTGACTGTCTCCTCTATTAAGAAGAAACCAATTTCTGAAAAATAAAGTATGGAAATGATTTCCTTTTGTGTGTTTTTAATTATACACAAAGCTACACAAGGGCTATCGGTGCTCTGCCCACCACGGGTATCGAAACCCGGTTTTTAGCGTTGTAAGTCCGCAGACATACCGCTGTGCCACTGGGGGGCTTCCTTTTGTGAGTCAAGTGAGAATTTCTTTACATAAATGTTTAACCACGTGTTGTTTTTGTACTATGAGAGACATGAATTTGACTGTAATCAACGTTTGTAGATGATAAAAATTGTATTATTATTTATCCATCCAGTTTCTGCTTATTTTTCTTAATAACTTTCACATATTTCAATATATATATATATATTTTACACACTTGACTAAAAGTACGTGCGTTATGTTTTACTACGAAGTCACAGAGGGGCCTACATATTTTACTATGCGTAATCATGTGGTCTTTAGATATGATTCTTTTCAGTTACAGGGAAAGCAGAATGTTTTGTTTTTTTTTGTTACCACGTTGATTTCACTAAGAAATACATACAATATAATATGACACACATATATATATAGTACATGCGACATGACTTAACGATTATTCAAAAACTACATTATCTTTTTTTTCCTTTGCATGTTACATGTATGAATAATATTATTTTTAGCTGTTTCCAGAAGTTGAATATGTTATATTAAAATGATTTGGGAGCCTCATCATGTCGATACAGTCCATATCGCCACGTCCAGTCATGCTTTATCTGATGACTTTGCATACTGAAAATAGCCCTGCAACTCTGACGTAAGGCTGTAATGCTAAAACATACCCCTACTCTCTTTTGTCTTTCCATTTCAACATTGCGATTGCACAGAAATCCAGAGGCGCTGCGTTCGGTGACTTAACCTGTATGTCTTCGTGTGGAATAACAAGAGTACCCGTTACATTCTTCAGTTGCTTAAGGTATGTGACGGTTTAATGGATATGTCGTGGAAGTAACTTGTGTACACTTTATTATACTTTATTATGTTGTTTATTGTTATTTGAGGCACGTGGATGCCTTTTGCTACTGACCTTTGTTATTCTTACTTGTTACAAGACGATCTACTTTATTTAACACTGCTTGGTTACGACTTATTGCAGGTTACTTTCTACACAGTCCTGATATCCCACGTTGATCCATATTCCTATATTTTTCAGTGCCATTTAATAAAATTATATCTTCGTTTCGAAACTTCTAAATCTACGATCTTTACACATTTGAGTGTATGAATATTTTGCGTGGGAAATGGCTGCTACGTGCCCTTCCCAACAGTGATCAATTTTCGGTAACATCACACTAATTTACGAAACGCGAAACAATATCAAAATTTTATATCGGTTGTGGCTGTTACGTGACCTGCTGACTATCTTATTAAAAATCATTTTAATATACCTTACTCAACAATATCTAAAAATATACTGCACATTTTACTTTGTTTGAAATATCTCGCTAGTGTTACAAGTATTTAAAAATACAGCATGAATATACAATAGAATAAAGCAGCTTCTTAAGTTTGTTGACATGTAACAGCCTAGTTTGTTTGCTTGCTAAGGTACTTAATTTATTAATAACTCAGTTTGCTACGTAACCCTTGCATGCTCCAAAACAGACACAAATAAAAATGATATATATATATTATAAAGTATAGTGAAAAGGGGACGAAATAGATAACTATAAATCAAACTTACGAACAACAGTGTATATATTTTTATGAAATTTAAATCATACCTGTGGGCGACTTATGCCTAAGCTGTGCATTTTTATTTTCTAAGACCTAATATTGTAGATCTTTTTACCAGGAACAATGCGATAATACACACATTCATACCTTCGGGTTGTTAGATCAAGAAAACTGTACCATAATTGGGAAACAAATGTTGCTGTGACTGACGCATATTCTTATTTTGGTAAACCAGCATAATTCAACGAAATACTTTTCTGAACAGTTCTTCGTCGCAATTAAACACTTATTTTATAAATTTCTCACCTCACCTACAGAATAATACCTTTGCCAATATTTCGGATTGTGGTGTTTTATTTGTTTAGCTTATATTATTTTGAGTAAAGAAATTGTTTTGGCGGACTTTGGAACTTTGAAAAACTGTAAATCTACAAATTAAGAACGTAAAGCACCCTTGATGAAGCATGTAAATATCTGTTTATGAATTTATAAACAAACGATTCTTTGAGAGGGCTTATCACCGAACTTTTACTGTGATAATAAGAGAACCAAGCTGGAAGAATCCACGATAAGGCGTATCAATGCCATTGGTAATTATTATAGTACTTTGGAATTACGACCTTAAAGCTTAGCATATTGATGATTCAAAAGTCACTGAGCGTATTATCTCACAACCTATGGCATACTTATCAACCTATGACAGGTATTATTTAATATACTGTGATATATTTAGAACCTGTGATAGATATTACTTAGTAGCCTATGATTTACTGAGCATCTTCTGATGGACGTTATCTAGCAGCGTGAGACATATTATTTAGTAGCCTCTAACACAAGTTATTTAGCAACATATGACATATTCAGCAGACTGGGACAGATATTATTTAGGTAATCTGTAATAGATCTTATGCCTTTCAGATAGTTAGCAACCTGGAATTAGATATCATTTAGCAACCTCTGACAAATGCTATTTATAACCTACGACAGGACATATGTAGTAGGCTGTAACATATATCTATAAGTAAAAGGATATTCCCAGTAAAATACTTTTACTGTGCATGGGGTACGTATAATAGTATTATTCGCGAATTTCTTCTATGTTGATGGAATTCTCAACGATAATTTTTTTCAGATTGAAGCAACACTCATCGGAACAAGTGAGCAAAATATGACCTGTTATTTGGTGCTTTCAACCTGAATAGTACCTTATGCAAAATATCGGTTAAACAATCAGGTCAGAGACACCAAGAGTCGGGCATAATAATACCTAATTTAGAACTGCTGACCAACGGGAGAGAAACCAATCAGCATCATCCTTTGCTTAACCAAATAGCGGAACCAAATGTCACATTTATAACACTAAGACAGCTGATGGTACTGAGCATTTGTTGTAGTATGTCGCGTCTCAGACTTTGCTTGAGCCTCTCGTACAGCAGTCTTGCAAACAATCATGACATGCCCATCAAAAGGTGGTAAGAAAATTTAAACACTGGATTGTACCAAAAAAAGTGTTTGTATGGCTCATTGTGTTTTAGTGGTTATAGTGTGTACTTAGAATTTCAAACTTTCAAGAAAGAGGTATTAAAGGAACACCATTTATGAATGTTATTCATTACTAGTGCATCATCTATCTCTTGTGATTAATATGCTAACATATTTATGTTATTTAATACATATCACTTTCTCCATAACTCATAGCTCTGAAGTTAGGTACTGTTTTTATGATTTTAATATATTTTTATGAGTGTATTATTCCATTCTTTTTAGGGAAAAGCCTAACCATAACGATTACCTTGAGCACCAGCCCTCCCCAGGTGGCGTCGTACACGAAAGCGATCAAAGTGACAGTTGATGGGCCTCGAGAACCTAGAAGTAAGACACGTAAGTTTGTCTTAAGCGACAAACGTAAGATCACATTTTTCTTGAAATGTATATGAATATTTTCAAAGTTGGAAATAAAGTTCTATTATTTTCTTCACATTTATTTATGTCTTAAATGCTTATCTTAAATCTGAAAACAACTTGATTTCTAGCTAATTAAGTCATTTTAAAGTTTGAGCTTTATCTTCTGCTATTTATTTGAAATTTTAATGTTATTTCGCTTTTATTGCAAGTGGCTTTCGTGTTGTGGAATAGTATTACGATAATCACAAAAGAATAAATTTGCAACAAAATAACACCAAAGAGGTTGTAGTTAGTTAGTTTTATAAGATAAAACAATCAGTTGGAAAAATCATTATGGAGTCTAATCTGAATTTTTGCATAGCTGTAACAAAGCGTGAATTTACAAAGTTATTATGAAATATAGTGTCATATATATCTTCCTAAGTTGATCATATATCTTTAGTTTGAAGTTTACAATGTTTATTTAAACGGCTAAACTGTAAAAAAGTAAAAAAAAAAGAATATTAGATCAAGTTTTTTTTCTAAAATTGTTCTAAATAGGAATAGTAATATAATTTTTGAAAGAATAAAAAAAAAGTGATACCAAAATAGTGAACACTAAATAGGCTTAACTCACATCGGGTTTGTTTTTCAATCGTGAATTAGATCGAAGGTATCGCATGTAAAGTGTGCAATACAACACACACACACAGACGACTCTTATTTTAATATTTATTAATTTCATTACTTGAAAATAAAGTACGATTGATTTTGCAGCGAACATAACTTAATCCTATATTCGAAAGAATAACTAAAATTAATAATGTTATAAATGGTTAGAAATGAAAAATAATAAAAACTATAAAAAACAACAACGACATTTCAGGAAAATTTCATATATATATTTTTAACTGAAAATAATATAATCAATAGTTAAACAATACTGACGAATAAATACTTTGTAGACTACTAAACGGTAGACAAAAATCCGAAATATTTTTGAGCGAAATTTCAAGATTAGTAAAACAGAAATCTAATTAAATAGCACATCTGTGCCATACCCTAGTATTATATGACGGACGAATTTCCAATTGATAAATTATGTGAGACTAAGACACAAAAACATCATTAGATAACGTATGGTTATTTAACTTTATTATCGTCTTATTTATTTGTTAAGTTACCGCTCAAAAATAAAGAAGCCAGGCGGGACCTACTAGTTATGATACTCAGACTTTGAATTCGAGGATTCGTGGTTCGTGTCCCGTTGCTGGGAAACTGCGATCCTTGCTTTGGGGCTGTCGATGCGCTATACAAGTGTCGGTCAAATCCTGTTATTCGATTCGAGTAACCAAAAGATGGCGGTGGGTACTGCTGACTAGCTTCCTTCTCTCTAGTTCATCAGTTCAAAGTATATGCGCAGATAGCTCTTGAGTGGCCCGGCATGGCCAGGGGGTTAAGGGGCTCGACTCGCAATCTGAGGGTCGCGGGTTCGAATCCCAATCACACTGAACATGCTCGCCCTTTCAGCCGTGGGGCCGTTATAATGTGACGGTCAATCCCACTATTCGTTGGTAAAAGAGTAGTGCAAGAGTTGGCGGTGGGTGGTGATGATTAGCTGCCTTTCACCTAGTCTTACACTGCTAAATTAGGGACGGCTAGCGCAGATAGCCCTCGTGTAGCTTTGCGCGAAATTCAAAAAACAAACAAACAGCTCTTGAGTAGATATTCGCTAAAGATTTGAACAAAGAAATCACAAATGAAATATACAGTATGAAGGATCATTGTATAAATTAGGGACGGCTAGCGCAGATAGCCCTCGTGTAGCTTTGCGCGAAATTCAAAAAACAAACAAACAGCTCTTGAGTAGATATTCGCTAAAGATTTGAACAAAGAAATCACAAATGAAATATACAGTATGAAGGATCATTGTATATGAATTTAAGACCTTGCTTATAAACCATTAATCACTCAACAGAAAATAACTTTCCCCATATGTTTATTCAATTATTTTCAACCGTGTCATTCTTGCCATTTCTCTAAATAAAAGAATCACTGCTATGTTAATACGTTTGTATAATATAAGTAAACTGGAAAACTCCCGATACCTGAGCTTGAGGAAACATCAAAATCTGTGTTAAAATACTATTCATCTAACAATGTAGATAATAGATTTATCAATCATTGTTTGTGTTGTTCTGCCTGACGCGTTTCTACCTGTTTGTCCTAGTTCTAAGGCAGCGTATATATTAGCGACTATCTAAACTAAATCATTTGTTTTATACTTTGGTTCATGCTTGTGTCTGGCTTTCAAAAATTTTCAAATCTATTTTCTACTTTCTGAAGCATTTACTTTGTAAAAAAATGATCTATCAAAGGGTACGGCTTAAAAAAAGATCAGATGTGTGATAATAAAAATAATCTCTCAGGGGATACGGCTTAAAAAGATCAGATGTGTGATAATAAAAATAATCTCTCAGGGGATACGGCTTCAAAAAGATCAGATGTGTGATAATAAAAATAATCTATTTTGGAGTACGGCTTAAAAAAGATCAGATGTGTGATAATAAAAATAATCTATCAAGGGGGTACGGCTTAAAAAAAGATCAGATATGTGATAATAAAAATAATATATCAAGGGGTACGACTTAAAAAAAAAGAGAGATCAGATATGTGATAAAGAAGACGTGATTCCGAAGCAAAACATGTGAAAAGAGGAACTACAGAAGTTCAGGATAAATCCTAATGTAATATTGATTTCAAAAATAATGTACTTGTGACAGTCGTGGTGGTGAAGTTGAAATGTAACCATATTGTTTTTAGTTTAGAGAGGGTTAAATCAAGAGCGATGTGGTTTTCTCTGGCCTGCGGTCAGTTAACATTTAATCCGAAGATAACAAACTGACCCACTGGGGTTCTGTATTACTTCGACTACTCAGCGGATGACGCGCCCCTAAAAATTGGCTCTGCCGACTCTAATAATCCATCCAGGTCCTTAATAACATGTTCGTTGAGACTCGAACAGCTGTTGGCGTAACAGCTGGCAGGCTGATCAATGGAACCGTTTATCAGAGGTGTTCATATTGCGCTCTGCTTTCTAACCCTGTGGTACTGCAGCGTTCACAATGTATTGCACGCGCTGTTAACTTGGCTCCATGCGTGCATACCTTACGCGCCTTTCTCGCTGACTGAAGAATCATTCATTATTCAGCGGCTCCGTTTCCCATACTCTTGGCCGCACTTTTTTTGTGCTTTGTGTATTATAAAACTGAACACGGCCCACTGATATCAAGCGGTGGCAGCCCTGCTAGCTAATACCCGGCGCACCGCAGCCCATGCAGCCTTGTCGTGGTAGACGTAATCGTTATTCACAGAGCGCCTTGGAGTCAGCCGATATGCTGCTAGCTGTAAGTTGCATCTAATATTTAGTACCCAATAGAACGTGTGAAATAATTGTGGTGCTTGCACTGGCCAGCGGAAGATAAGGGCTGACTGGGTGGAACAAAGGTTTTTTGGGGATTTCATGCGTGCTGCTAAGAACCTGTTATACAGTTTTATAGCCACGTATATCTACATAATATTCTCTCAACGGGCGGGATTATGACGGCAGTTGAGAAATAATTCATGAAGATACAGGAAAGTCACATATAACAGTTCACCATTATGTATATATTTGTGACACAAGCGAATTGCGCACACTATCCTATAAAGTCAATAATTGGCGCATGCTCAGCAGAGGTACTTACATACATAAGTATACACCTCTGGACTTTTACATATCTTTACAGAACTACATAAACAAACATGTATCGACACGACCAAAACCAACACTTTCAGGTTGTAGTGTGCAGGTTTTATTGGACTTTTACACATCTTTACAGAACTACATAAACAAACATGTATCGACCCGACCAAAACCAACACTTTCAGGTTTTAGTGTGCAGGTTTTATTCCGTTTATTATTGTCGTACGTAAATAACAACTTTGAGCAGTAGGTACTGTTCCTAGCTTGATAGGTTAAGGTAAAAAAATATACTCTTATATCAATTATTAATCAGTATTTCAGTTCTCAAACGATTTCTAAAATAAAACTTCCAAATATTGATTGATAAAATAACTATATCCATTTCTGCTTCACTTACTTGATTTTTGTAGTCCCATGAACTTCTTTATTTAACTTTCGTAAGTGTATTTTATTGATCTTTGAATGTTCTATTTTTGACACTAAACTTCATGATTGTTTTTGATACAAAACAGTCTTTCCCATTAACGCTTATTTTTAAATGTGTTGCAGCTCTCAAAAGTTTATAGTAATTGTGTTTGTTTGTGAAGTTAATTATGTATTTCTTACAGAATATTCTAGATGTCAAACTTTCAGCAATGGTTATTTAATCCAGTTTAATTGTGTAGGCATAGTGCACATTGTATCTTATATGTTTCTACAAAGCTGCACATCAGTATCGTACAATTTTATTGTTGCATTATACGTATACAGAATCATTGATATGTTTGTTGAAGAGTGTTTTGAACGGATTTAAACTTTAATTTCTTCATTTTGTATAGATAGATAAATATATTTTCTTTGCTATAAGCCTTTCTTTTTGTGTCTTTCTCTCTTTCTGCCCCTATCTTTACATATGCAAATCTTGAAATAGGGGAAAGTGACTCTATTTTGTCGTTGTTGGTTTGCCTGGTACTTGACAAATAATATGACGACCGTACAATTAAGAAAACCGATAAAGTTATAGAATAAATGAGTTCGATTGGCTCGTAAAATTTGTTTCTGACCTCTCCTTGTTGTTATAGGCCAATGCTCATCAGATCTGCATAAAAAAATGTTTTTAATAAACTCTATCCGCTCAAAACAAATGAAAAATAACTGTAGAATGAAAGCAAATCTGAAAGCACGATAGAAAAATATTGTACGATGTTTAGACCAAAATAATTTATACTTAATTTGGTGAAGATACTTTTCTAATTAGTTTATCATTGTTTAATAGGCATGGCGTAAGTTGCGTGGGCAACAGCCTGTCCCCCATATCAGAATGCCCAGGCTTACATCCGTCCATATCAAACAATGGGCGGATGCTCATCCATGGATGAAACCTGGCCGAAAGAGGCCTACTAAGTAAGGCATGACCAGGTGGTTAGGGCGCTCGACTCGCAATAGCAATATGCGGGTCGCGAGTTCCAATCCCCGTCCCACCAAACATGCTCGCCCTTTCAGTCGTGGGGGCGTTATAATGTGACGGTTAATCCCACTATTCGTTGGTAAAAGAGTAGACCAAGAGTTGTCGGTGGGTGGTGATGACTAGCTGCCTTCCATCTAGTCTTACACTGCTAAATTAGGGATGGCTAGCGCAGATAGCCCTCGTGTAGCTTTGCGCGAAATTCTAAAACAAACAAACCAAACAATTGTCTTAATCATTTGTTTAATCATCTGGTTTTTAAAAGCGAATTACACTTTGAGTTTTTGGACATTTAATGAGGATTAATTCACAAGAAGACTGATTATAATATGAATCGCATCATTCCTTATAGAGCTAATGCAGACTTCCAGTAAGGAAAGTATCTAATAAATAAACGTTTCGTTTATAAACGAAAAGTTGAACTCCTGAAAACGACAATAAATGAATAATAACCACAATAGAGATAGTCCCCCGGTGGGGGTAGGGGTAAGTTTACGGACTTAGAAGGAATAAATCTGAGGTTCGATTCTCCGCGGTGGACAAAGCGAAAATAACTCATTGTGGAGCTTTGCACTAAGAAAACAACAACACATATGGAGATAAAACTCTTTTATAACTAACCCTATTACTTTTATTCGTTTACCTATATATTTTTAAAGAATAAACTAAATCTGTACCCATATTTTATAAATATGGAAATTGTCTTTGAAAGGTACAAATAGAGTCAATTGTTTTCGTAATAATGGAATTTTTCACCTATAAATGGTTGTATAAGATAACATCTGTTAACATGTGAAGCTATGGATCACAGGCTTTTGTTGTATAAAGTCTCACCTGTTTTTTGAGGTGGCAATAAATGTCAGCTTTATAAAAATAGTTAAGGCTATGTATCTAAAACAAAAATATTATAGGGCATTAAAGGACAAACAATGAGTAACAAAATGGACGAAGTAACTTTTTCCAGCATTTAATACGTCTGAAATTAGTCCATACCCAAATCTGCCCCCCCCCAGTGGCACAGCGGTATGTCTGAGGACTTACAACGTTAGAAACCGAGTTTAGATACCCGTGGTTGGGCAGAGCACAAGATAGCTCATTGTGTAGCTTTGTGCTTAA